GTTTTTGGATCGTTACATTGGAGTGAAAGCCGCAAATGGCATTTGGCAGATTCCAAGTACATAAAGCAAAGGCAATGGACTACTTTGTATAGAAAAAATTATGAAGAAAAAGATGGGGAATAAAACTTCATACCAGCCTGATATTCTCCTTGGGTGATTTTTGAAGTTCAGCAGAGCAGAAAAATGCCTTGGAGGATCATTGAAGCAAAAATGAAACCACAAGATAAATAAAACTATCCATGGAATTGCTCTTCCTTTTCCCTGAAATATCAGCTCTCATACTTAACTTCTCGGTATCCTGGGTGTTAATGTAATCACTCAAAGCCAAAGCTAGCATTTTGGTAATTATAAGATCCTGGTTATATAAGCCATTCAGGGTGCTGCCTACTGTAATAAACCCTTCAAAATAGCTGCTTACTGCAGTTTAACTGGCATTAGCAGCTAGAATAGACTGATTTCATATGGGTTATGGCTTGAATAATTACGTGACACTCTGAGCCATTAAAAAAAAAGTGATGAAGAGAGGGAGGCTTGGAAGAAGCAGTATACTGTATATACCTGTTATATTCAGAGGAAATGGTGCCTTAGGTTTTGTTACCCGGGGAAGGGATCTAGCAGAAGACTTCTATAAAACCACTTTAAGCTTTAAAAATATATTGACTTTTTAAATTCTCTTTTCTCAGTGCAGTAAGCATTAATACATTTATTTTAAAAGATAGTGGCCCAAAATAAATTGAAGTCACTTTTTCCATTTTTAAATATTAATTAAAGACATGCATGCATGTGTGTGTGTATCTTTCATATCAAAGAGAAGAAATGGTGAAAAGTTAGTGTCTCCAGATATATTACAAGTTCGGGGTGGGGGGGAATCATAAATTTTTCCCATAAAATTATGCCCTGTTTGCCAACCAAAAATCAAGATACTATGGTTTAAGGATTAAAAGGAATAGTAACAAAGAACTACTGGTAGATCTTGACTTACAACTGGTTGTTTAGTGACTGTTCAAAGTTATGATCAGATTTGAAGTTCCAGTGGTTGATCCCCATGACCTGATTTTGGGTGTTTGGCAACATGGCTGCAGTTAAGGACATCTGCATTGTTTTGCATTTACAATGGTTTTGCCAAAATCCAGCAATGGTTTTGCCAAAACTTTCCGCTTTTGACAAAATTCCACCCATAGCAAACCATTGCTTCACTTAATGCCTGTAGATTCACTTGATGACCACAAAAAAGATTGTAAAATTGATCAGTCGTGTGGCTTTACTGCCAGCTACATTGCAGTCATATGTTGAGGACTTCCTGTATGACAAAAGACCCATCTTCTCAGCTGCCAAGTACATTAGTACTTAAGAAGTACACACAGTGTTCTTCCGTTTCCTTCATCAAAATCCCAATAAAAAAGGATGATTCAGTAGGGAGAATGGGAAGAAAAGGCCTTTAAATTTCATTTCTCTGCCATTAATATCTCATACTAATACCCTACATATCAGAACATCTCCAAATTACATTACTTTTATGTACTAATGTTCTTGTGCCCAATGCTCAGACACCGACCTGCATCATTTCTTATAACAGAAGTTTACTTTTAATATTGAAATTGTTTGTGTCTTACTTCATCTATGTGACACATTTTAAGACTTTTCTGATGTTCCATTCTTTCTTTTTCTCAGTTCCTCCCCCCAAAACATTCTGCCACATAGCTATTATAAGTAGTACACTTTTTCTGAGATTTGTTTATTTCATTTCCCTTTTTGAATCTTTTGAATAAAAGGGTTCTGTTTGGGTAAATCACGTTGCTCCATATAGATAAATAAATTTATATTAGGCCTGTGCATTACTTCAGTTGAGCATTTGAGCAGTGGTGGGATTTAAATTTTTTTACTACTGGTTCTATGGGCATGGTGTGGCTTGGTGGGCGTGGCAGGGGAAGGATACTGTAAAATCCCCATTCCCTCCCCACTCCTGGGGGAAGGTTACTGCAAAATCCCCATCCCACGAACCTGCTTTCCAGCTCCGTTCTCCTGTGCAGGGCAACAAAAGAAGACCCAGCCAATCAGTTGGGACTCAGGAGGCAGAGAATAGATGGAGGCAGGACCAGTCAGGAGGTGGTATTTTCCAGTTCTCTGAATTACCGTGTTTCTCACAAAATAAGGCCGGGCCTTATTTTTTTGACCCCCCCAAAAAACGGCTAGGCCGTCTTTTCGGGGATGACTTATTCCCCGCCCTGCATCCTCGGGCGGGCAGGTGGCAATGGCTTGGATATTGACCTCAGCGTTGGTGGGACACTTCGTATCGGGAAACCTTCCACCACCGTTGCTTTACCTTCTCCCCATGCTGCTGTGGCATTTAGAGCAACACTGCAGCGTTTGGTGCAGCCATGTGCGGCCAGCAGGGGTCCTCCCTGCAACCAGAGCCTGGCAGAGACACTCATCTTCAGGTGCTCCTTCCTTCCCAAGTCCCTCCAGCCTGATCCCAAAGGGGCCACCAGAAGAGGCCGCCTGAGGCAGTTATAGCACCCACCCATCCGTGGACAGGGAGGCAAGGTGACGGCCTGCTCCACGTCCTCCGAGCTGAGCCCTGCCGAGTGAGTGCCTCTGCCTGATTCCCATGCCATTGCAAAGTTTGGAGCTGCCGGTGAGTTTGGAGATGCGTGGGGGTGGGGACAGGCTGGGCGAGAGGTGGATAGGACAGGCGGCTTCGGGCTGTCTCCGCCAGACCCACCAGCCAGGGAAACAGCCCTGCTGTCACCTTGCCTCCCTGTCCGCGGATGGGTGGGTGCTATCATTGCCTCGGGCAGCCTCTCCCAGTGGCCCCTTCGGGTTTGGTCTTTGAGGGACTTGGGAAGGAAGCCAAGTTCAGGTCAGCCCGACTCTTTCGGTTGGCAGGCAGGTGTGCACCCACGGCTCGCTTTCCCAGCTCTGCCCAGCCCGCATGGCTCTGAGCAGAGATGAGCGGAGGGTCTGGCGGGGAGGCGCTCGCTGCTTTGGTGAGAGCTTCGCCGCCGGGCAGGAGGGCCTGCCTGTCATCTGTGCTGGGCACCCCAGGCGAAGGTCTTCATGCTCTGCCCGGCGCCAGGCAGGGATGGTGGCTGGGCGCTTCTCCCAGGGTGGGCTGATCCTGCGCTGCAGCCCCGGGAGATTCGCCTCCCCATGTGGGGTTGGGCTGCCCTCTCGGGCAGGGGAGTTTTTGTCATACCGGTAGTATGGCATTTAAAAGAATTGGCTTTGCCTTCGAAGGCAAAGGGAAGGCAGCGACAGGAGCACCTGAAGCCGAGTGTCTCCGCCGGGCTCCAGTTGCAGGAAGGAGCCCTGGCTGGCCACGCATGGCTGCGCCAAACGCCACGGCGTTGCTCTAAACGCCATGGCAGCACAGGGAGAAGGGAAAGCAACGGTGGAAGATCTCCCTATACGAAGTGCCCCGCCAAGGTCAACGCAGGCAGCACCATATCCGGGTATGCTACAAAAGTACTTCCTAACGGCCAGCCCCATTCCCCCCCCATTTCACATGTTTAATATAGGCCTTAATTAGGAGGGAGGGGCTTAATTTGATTTTATGCCTATAAAGCATGCTGGGACTTCCTATTGGGGAAAGCCGTATTGTTGGAGAAACATGGTACTTAAATTTTCCACTAGCGGTTCTCCAGAACTGGTCACAACCTGCTGAATATAACCTCTGCCTTTGAGCCTTCAGTCCCTTTCACATAGCTGCACAAAGCAAACCAGGATCAGTTTGTAGGTCGCATGGAAAGACTGCACGCAGACGCCAATCCAAGTTCCCACCTTGATTCGTTAATGAGAGGCATCCAGGTGGAGCCCCTTGCTTTCGCTATTATGATCCCAATAATATTGTCCAGCATATGGGCTAATTAGTTGAAGGTTTGTAAATAAAATTAATCAAACTGTAACATATAGCACATACATGCTAGTCATTTCTGGCTCTAGGGGGTGGTGCTCATCTCCATTACAAAGCCAAAGAACCAGCGCTGAAGACGTCTCCGTAGTCATGTGGCTGGCATGACTAAACGCCGAAAGCGCACAGAACGCTGTTACCTTTCCACCAAAGTGGTCCCCATTTTTCTACTTGCATTTTTACATGCTTTCGAACTGCTAGGTTGGCAGAAGCTGGGACTAGTAATGGGAGCTCACTCCGTTATGCAGCGCTAGGGATTCGAACTGCTGACTTTCTGATCAACAAGCTCAGTGTCTTATCCACTGAGCCACCGCATCCCTGTAACGTATATAGCCTCTGAAAAACTGCTATACTGAGAGTTAAGTGATAGTGAGAAGGGAAATAAAATTGCTTTATCAGTATTTGCCAAACTTTTTCTTTGGAAGAATGTATTGTGTGTATTTTTTACCTTTGTGATAGACCATAGAAAATGAATTACAGATACTTAGGAAAATTGTCTTCTTAGTAAGTATGCATCTCCTTAGCAGCACAGTGCACATTTTAAAAGCTGGAGCAGTGTATCGCTGTATTTGTTACATCTTGCCCCACAGGGCATGGTTATCCTCCTTCTCTTGGATGAATCTTTCATTATATTTTATACGTTATGTTATCACAGACGGCTATCAAACAATCGGAACATTTAATCTGATCATACTGAAGTATATACAATGGATCGGTTTAACAAGACAGAAGTTGGTCTACATTGAATTATTTAATTATGTCTCAGCAATTCAAATAGATCCCATGAGAAATAGTTATGTGATATAAAAATAATGAGAGCAGCAACGCAGCATATAAACAAGATATTTCTCAATGCTTAAATGGTTGGTGCAAATGCACGTGGGGTATTTCTTCATCACCTCAAGAAAATGCCAGTGTGAAAGCTAATGAGAATACAGTACTTTCCATTCCTTTACCCCTTCTTCTGTTTCTGTTGGTAATTTTCTCTTGGGCTTATCTTCTTGCAAAAATGTTACTAGTTGACAATATTTTATGTGCAATGTTCCAAGCAGCTGTTCAAGCATTCGTTCGCTTTTCTTTCCCATTCTAGTGTTCCATGCCTTCCTGCATCACAGCCTTCCATGTAACGTGTGCCTTTGAGCACAATTTGGACATGCGGACACTGTTAGCAGAAAACGATGAGGTAAAGTTCAAGTCATTCTGTCTTGAGCATAGCACTGGTGCCACCAAGCCACCAGATGACGTACGGATGGAGGCAGATCAAGGTAAACTAGACATGGAAAAGGTAACACTGAGAAAACAGAAGCTCCAACAGTTGGAAGAGGACTTCTATGATCTTGTGAAACCTTCTGAAGTGGCGGAGAACCTTGATTTGACTGAGTGGCTAGTTGATTTTGTCTATCAGTACTGGAAGATGAAGAGAAAAGCTAATTATAACAAGCCACTACTGATGCCCAAGACAGATGAAGTGGATAATTTGGCTCAGCAAGAGCAGGATGTATTGTACCGACGCTTGAAGCTCTTCACACACCTTAGACAGGATCTTGAAAGGGTGAGTAGAATTATTGGGATTAATAACTCTTGTTTGCATATTCCTGCTTTCCGCACTCTGGCACCTTCCAAATGTACAAAAAAATTACAGCTCCCCAAATTACAATGGAAATGTCCCAATTCATCTGTAGATTACAAGACTTGAGGGAGTTTAGTTTAATCAGCTTTCTCTACAGTTACTCAAACCTGCAGTGGACAGACATAGCAATAGCACTTAGACTTATATACCTCTTTGCAGTGCTTTACAACCATTCTCTGAGCAGTTTACCAAGTCAGTCTATTGCCCCCAGCTGACCAGGGAAGGATGGAAGGCTGAGTCAACCTTGAGCCGGTGAGAATCCTACTGCCAAATTGCAGACAGGTGGCAATCAGCAGAAGTAGCTTGCAGTACTGCATTCTAACCACTGCGCCACCGCAGTTCATGCATTACCTTATGGTTGTAAATTATTCAATTTCATTATAATCATGGGTTTCATATTTTTGTTTGCTACATTAATGCTGAATATGTCATTACCATCTAGTGAGGAAATGATAAGAACACCAGCTTTTCTTCTCTAGCTGGGCGGAAGTGAAATGATTTGGTGCAAACCAACCATAAATAGTTCAGAAGCATGCAAAATAAAATTATTCCTATTTCATTTTTTTTCTGTGGTTAAATATATATTTTTGCTTTTATTTTCAAGTGTGATAAAAGTGTTAATTATTAGTGCAGCCTAAGATCAACTTCTTATGCACATTCACTAGCTTGATTAGAAGACAAAATTTATGCCCATTACATCCTCTGGTTCTTTCATTGTATGTATGATAAGATATAATTGTAGCAAGACTGTGGCTGTAGGATGAAGGTTGAAGATGGGTGGTTTGGAACCGCCAATCTTTCGGTCTTCAAATACTTGGATATAATTCCTGCTTTAGCTAGTAGCTTGGTTGTTCTTTTTCCAAACACTTGTCTTCCACAGAGCACGTCATCTGTCATCTATCCCCTAATTCCAGTATATGTAAGAGATACTGTAGAAATGCCATATTTTGTGCCTTTTTTGTGATTAAAAATCAAAATGCAAAAATTGAAATAATTTCTATAGTGCCACTTCTTGGCTATATAGTATATAAGTGTGGCAACTAAAGAATTCAGCTCTTCCTCCCCCAACTGCTCCCCCTCCGGTTGAAAAATCAATCTTACAGGGGATAAACAGGAAAACATTAGAAAAATAATAAAATGTACTTTTTAAAATTGTAATATATATACATTCATTATAGAAGAACATAATTACAAAAAGTTGTCCCCAAAGACATACTAGAGCAGCTTTCAGGTTGTGAAGAAAAAAGATCCAAAAGTAAACGCAATGTTCCAGATACAGCATTGCTATAATTGAAGGAACTTCCACTGAAGATCTCTGAAAAGAGACTGGAAAGATTTCAAATTATTATTACAGATCACAAGAAAAAACTATATTCCTTGAATACAGGCTGAAGTAAAACCGAAAGTAGCCCCACAATACCACAGCTTAGACTTAGTGCAAATAAATCCTAACACAAATTCCTGACTACACATGTTAACAATGTCTACAGTCCTGAATCAGACTTTCTGCTTCAGACTTCCTTTCAGCCATTCTTTGGTTCACACAGTCACTGTCTACTGTAAGCCCAAGAAAAAATGCAGCACTACTAGCCTTGGCAAGCATGTCCATATTACTTCCAAGCCACTTTTTCAGCTTCAAATTCAAAGCACTGTGCACCTCCCTACTGAGATGATAGGATGGGATAAAGTACCAAATGAATACAACACAATATGATAACAGTATGTTATAATGTAATATAGTAGTTCTCGACTGTGGTTTGCAGACCTTTGATGGGGGCCACAGTGTTGTCATAAGGGGTCCATGAAGTCTGGAAGAAATGTTGTGATTTAAACCTTAAGATAAATCTTGGTGGTCCATGGCTACAAAAGGTATTTAAAGGGAGTCCATGGTGAAAAAAGGTTGAGAGCCATTGATGTAATACATTTCTAAAGCACAGTTATTTCTGGAATGAAGGCTCTTCTAAATACTGTAAAGCTATTCTCTGCTGCTTTTCTTATTTGGTGATTAATTCTCAGAGTAGAGATGAGTTTATAAATAGGACCAGGAAATATGTTAACACTGTCTTTTTGAAAGGATAGTTGATATTAGTGGAGACACACAGTAACCAATTACCATGGGAAATTGGCTTCTCTCCTCCCTCCCCCCAATATATTCCCCTGCTGTGTATAGTGGTAAGGTTGATGCCTACATGGAGTTTTCTTAAAATCTTGCTTTTCAAAGTGCCATGCTATAAATACTACCAGTTCTTACAAATTGCATTTTTTATTAGCTATGCACATCTGAAATTAAAAAAATAAATGGTATAACTAGTCACGTAGCTGAGGAGATGGGGACAGAACTGGCAGTAAGTTATCAGCACAAGAGCTGAAAAAGCAAAAAGGAAGATTTCTGAATACAAAGTACAAACAAGCTAAAAAAAATAAATCTGAGATAGGAAGCAAGAGGAAGATAATAAAGTGTGAGAATAAATATATGCAAGACAAGCCCTGGTAGTGAATATTTCAGGTGCATGCGGCTGCCCATAATTGGGACAAGTTGAAGGATAAAGCTATGGTTGATGTGCTCCAAGTACAGTGAGATGAAGAGTCAGAGCACAAATAAAAACAATGTTTTCATTATTTATTTTTATTCTATTGTTTAACATTATGAGTTTGTTTATATGTAATGAACAGCTTGTCTTTTTATAGAAAGCAGCACTCTGCAGCAAATATTTGTGTGGACATGGAGTCCGCATGCAACGTACATGACACTTTGCAAGTCTCATTTTTATAAAAACCCATTGTTTCCATGATCCAAAATAAATAGGAATGGTCATTGGAAATGGCTGTTTATAGTTAGAGAAAAAAGAATATTTTTAAGAAAACAAGAGTTAAAATTGCATTGGTCTCAACTGTTCTTCTAATTTGTGATTTTATTAGTACTTCTGCAACAGCTGTTGATCCTTTCCTGTGAACGCAACCCTTCCTACAGTCACAGATTATTATGGTCAGCTTAGATTTGAAAGTAATAAACTTTCCATTAAAACAAATCATCTATATGCATGCAAGCAAGCTTTGGTGTGGATTTATTGGATTTATCCTTGGTAATTTCTTGATTAGAAATTGACAGGGCAGGCTATCATATATGAGTATGGGAGCTAAACCCACATTCACTCACACTGAAGATGCTATCTAATTGGGTAATGAAATATCTGCAAGCAAACCATCAAGCTCAAACCACCAAGGATTCTGCCATTGTTTGTTCTGAAAAGCTATTTAAACCTCATAACCAGAGAAATGTAAAAGAATATCTCAAAATACAAATTGCATATTATACTTAACATATTGGATTTTTTTAAAAGTCCCAAAATCTTGTAGATCTTGTACATATACACAATAACAGCAGTATCTTTCATTTAATCAATGTTGCTAGATGGATATGTAGCCTAAATCATTAGGCTTGACAGGAAAGACTCAGTTCATTTAACAGTCATGATACAGCCTCGCCCAACTCTGAGGATCTGAGTTCTCTGCCAGAGCTTTTCTACTGTCCTGTTTAGATTTTCCCAATACGTATTCTCTGAGTAAATTGACCTGTCACTCCCAGCATCTTCAGTCAACTTGACTATTTGGAGGAAACCAAACTGAAAAGATTGATTTTCATTGTGGCACTAAAATAACATTTTCTGTGTATTGAAATAGGACAGTATAAAACCAAATAATGCCATGAATAATAATTACCACTGTAGTGATGTATTGGAGTGTATTGATAGTATGACAGCTGACTTATGGGCTGAAATTAGATGAACATTTTGCAAATCAGCCTTCCAAGGCTCAAATGCAAACTGTCCTCACTGACCTCTGTTTCTGCTTTAATGCTATCCATATTCCAAAAGCACCTTTATTCTCTGTTGATTCTCATCAAGTATTTCATCTGTCTCACAAAATCTTCCCTGTACGATTCTTCTAACTGCTTTTAACACTGTTTTACATTTCACTTCCTGCAGTATTTTCATCATCAATTTTCAATGATAGAAGTCTTGTTCCGTTTAGAAGTTGTTTTCTGGCATTGTAACAAGATGCATCTGGAAGCTCCTAATAGATAATTGCATAGATTTTAGTTTCTTCAGTTCAATCATGTCCAATTCTCAGAGGCTGCAGAATAAATCCCTGTAGTTTATTTGGCTTGGTTTTTCAGAAGTGGTTTATCAAAGCCTCCATCCTAGGGCTGCAAGAAACTGACCAGGCCAAAGTCACCCAGCTGGCTTTGTGCCTAAGGACTAGAATTTACAATTTCCTGGTATCTATCCTAATGCCTTAACCACTGTGCTATACTGGATTTCTATCTGCAATTATAGATAACTGCAATTATGAAATGTCAGAAGCTTGCAAAATTTAAATATGGCTTGAGATTTTCCAATAAATGCCCTGATATTGCCAATATTATTCTCTTCACAGCCACCATCTCAGCATTTTAATTTGATGGCTAGAATCCCCTTGCTCTATTCCCAGTTAACTCACCACAACTGCCTCTTAATATAAGTAGATAAATGTTATTTTATTTCTATTCGACCCTTCATAAAAGAACTTCAAAGCAGGATAGATTGCATTTTCTTCCATTTTTCCTCACAGCTGCAATCCTTTGAATTAGATTGGACTCAGAATGAATGACTTTGATTTGAAGACATCCAGTGAATGCCCACGTCTGAAGATGGGCTAAAAGATGAATCTACCCAATGCCAGCCCATTACCTTAACCAGTCTACTGTTGGCCTTGAATATACAATATTCTCTGGAATCTTGGCTCTCAATATCTTGCCATCTTCAGCAGTTCAAAGAGACACAGTTCCCACAAGTAGACTAAAATGTTTCCATTTTAGCACTGAAGGCATCATGAACTTTAACTTTTAAGGATAATAAGAAATTATTCTGTCCCAAGGCAAC